TAGACTAAAACATTTGGAGCATACTTTTAAATTCTAAGATAAATAAAAAGTTGATTCAAATGCTAAGGATTACTCGAGGCTGGAAATGCTTTCCATATATCTGCAATAATAACAGGGCCATTGCAACTGTATTTTTCAGTATTTCCAGGCAATCTTAAATAGCAATGATGTTTTGAACCAGTGTTTTGTATGAGGGTTATGGTGTTGCTGCTGCGCCCTTCATCATTTTGCAAGGCTGTAAAACAGAGGAATAGGGCCAAGTCCTACTCTGGATTTGCTTTCTGGACCCCAAGGCCTTCCTGAAATGCAGGCTTTTTTAATATTACCTGTCTGTCCGTGCCAGGGGGCAACTTCAGTACATCCCTTTTCCTAATGCTAGGCAGAGATGACTACTGTCAATAAATCTTAAAAAATTCCAAAAAAGCAAGAGAGAAAAATCACTCTTAAGCAGCAATTAAAACTAACCTATCACAGCTAATTAAAGACTTTTCCAAGGTCAAGGCAGGGCTGCAGCAGCTGGGGTCCGTGTAACATAAAATGCTGCCGGCTGTGACCAATTACAGGGCCCTGGAGCAGCCAGCTAAAGAAGCCAAGGAGGTGCAGYGGTGGGGTGAAGTGTGTCTGGTGTGGTGGGCTGGGTTTCTGTCTGCTGCAGTAGCATGTAAGTATTGTTTTACAACGTAGTGGAATATACTGATCAGATTCTGCTTGTTTTCTTCTTGGTGTTGTGATTGAATCATGTACTCTAATGGTTCTAATATGTGGTAAAGTTCTGTAAAAAAGAGGGGTAGGAGCAAGGATTGCTGAGGAACCCCRGTGCAGTGCGTTTGGCTGGGCCCTTTCCCCCACAGAGGCCAGGGAACTGGCACTTTGGAAATAGGCAAGAGAATATGTAATAATTATAGACAAATGAGTCTTGAGCCCTTGTTTCTTTTAAATAATAGCCAATTCTGCTCTCTAGAGGAGACTTGAGTAAAAGAGATGCATCCTGATGTATATTGAGGGGTGGCAATGAGGTGCCCTTCATGTGCTAGTGTGGCTCTACTCTCTGCATCCAGCAGCCTGCTTTGCAGTCGGGGAGCACTAAGAAAACTAATACAACTGTAGTGGGAACTTTGCCTCAAGGGTACCTGTAATGTACCTGTAAGCTTGTAAGGTTTTTGTTTTGTTTTTAAGAAACTTTGCTGAATTGGGGAGTTAAGATGTTCTTCTATGCTTATGAAATGATAGAGGAACCTGTTACTGCAAAAAAATGATGGTGCAGACTTTCAGTCCTGAAGGCTTGTGCAGTAGTATTCCAGCTGTCTGGATCTGGAAAGTTGGGAATATGTAATGGAGTGGCTATGCAAATCTTAAGGCATGTGAAGTATTTGAAGATGAAGCTGATAGTTTCATAGTCCGTTGCAAGGAACTGGTTATGAGAAGGAGCTATGGTATGCTTAGGACATAAATAGCATTGCTGGGCTGTTTGAGGCAATAAACCCACAAATTATAAGCCAATTGCTGTMAATTCAAACTCATGAATATGCTGGAAGCTAAAACAAGAGGTGATGAACTAGCCTAGCCTGTCGGCGCAGGTCTGCTAATGCGGTTTTGTGTCTCCTCACTTGGCCGAGGCACGTGATGTTTCTTTGGGTTAACCTGCAGCGTGGTTCGTGCCCTTTCTTGTACCTGAAAAACAGGTACTTCTCAGCACGGCTGGAAGCCCTTCTCACACATCCAGAAGGGAAATATGCTCTCCAGCAGCTGTGGAGGGGAATAAAATGTTACTTGCTATTCCTGCTGGGGTCCAAATACAGCTGCCATGAATCAGATCCGCCCTGCAAGGCTGAAGCCCAGGCTGCCGCCTGTGAGGACTGCAGGTAACTCCTATAGGTTTCTGTGGGATCAGGGGGTGGAGGAAATAGCCCTGCCACAAAGAGACAAATTTGTGAATGAGTGAAGATGAGAAGACAAAGGTCTTTCAGTTCTGGAAGAAGAATAGGAAGGTTTCTTTTCAGCCCTCGTTTACAGAAGTCCAGCCAGCTCTTCTGGAGTGAGAGAGATCTGCCCCACGGTCACATCTGTCCTGTGTGGGGGCTCTTGCTCTGCTGGTGAGTGTCAGGGTCGTAGTTAGTCCCTCATTTTAATGGAAGTTTAGACTTGGCGCTTAAAGCYCCCTCTTTGGGAGGCCAGTGTTAGTGACAAAATGCAAGCCCAGCCTCGGGGTCCAGAAAGTGCTTGGCTATGGCAAAACAGAGAATTAAGCATTTAATAAAGTTTTTAATTCTCRGGTCCCTCACTGGGATTTTGTTCTTTAACATTGACATCTTGTGGCTGATGGTGCAAATGACAAGCCCATGGGCTCCTTCCATGGCAAAATCCTGTGGGATGTGGGAACATCTCTGTGGGACAAGTGGACTGGAGCTAAAGGAAAAGGTCGCACAGGCTTTGTGACYTGTGCAGGTGCTTGGGTGTGAAGGGACAGCGCTGGGAAAGTTGCCGTCCAGTCCTCTACAAGAGTGGGAATTGACTGGAAGTGAAGGATATTTCCAAAGTCCTACGAACTGGGAAAATCCCAAATGAAAACATCTCCTCCTTGGTTGTATTTATTCTGCTGACAGCAATGCAGATGTGTGCCCAGGGGCAGCTTGTAAACAATTCAGAAAAAATCATCCTTGAGCCCCCAGAAGTTCCAACTTCAGCCACCAGCGATGTTTTGCCTGAAAGATGTTATTCCAACGATATCATTTTAATGTTGAAACTCTCTTTAACTCTTATCACGTAGTTACAATTTAAGGTGAGGGATACACATGGACATTATTCACTGCCACCTGCTGGCAACCAGTTTAACTCTCATTCGTTCCTTCTCTGACACGAGTTGCTCGAATTGCATCAGAGGATGTAAAAGAAGGTAGAGAAAAGGTGGTATTTGTAGCGGTTCTGTGCTGATCGCCGGCCGGTCGCATGCGCTGCAGAGCCGTCCCCACTGCGTCYTCGCGCCTGGTGGGAGGCCGCTGTGCGAGGGACCCGGGGCTGGTTCTGTCTGTGGTCCCTTGTGGGAGAACAAGGCTGGACCCTGTCCTTGGCAAGGGACAGGTCCTGGGCCTGTGGGATTTGCTTTCCAGTTTGCCTCTAAAACTGGTTGAACRAAGTGATTCTCTGAGAATGTCATTTTAGGTCCTTTTTACTGAAGCAGTTTTGGTTATTTTTACCAAAAACACCTCCAGAAAATAAATGGGGTGCTTGAACTGGTTCCTGTCCTTGGTTCTTAGCCCTGCTTCCCTGCTGGGCTATAGTCCCCGAGCCAGTCCCGTGTAAATGCATGTGAGCAGCCGGTGCCCGCGCTCACCTCGGAGCAGCGCGCGCTGCCAAGCTGAGCTCGTGCAGGGCCCTCATGAGAGTCACACAATCATGGAGTGGCTGAGGTGGGAAGGGAGCTCTGGGCATCTCGGCCAACCCCTGCTCCAGCAGGGACACTAGAGCATGGGGCACATCCTGGTTTTCCTTTGGGCTGTCCCACACTGTGTCAGTAACTACGGGAAGCTGAAGCAGCCCTCGGAGTGTCCCGCTTTGCATCAGCGCAGGGTTTGTTTTGTTGTGCAGGGAAAAAACAGAGCCAATCCCTCTGGGGGGATGTGCAGGTGCCCCCGCAAGCCCTCTGCGTAGGAGCAGGAGCCTTTTCACTTCATAATCCAGCTACTGTTCCTTACTTAAGTGATATTCTAAATGTTTGTTCTGATTTAAAAGGTTGAGATCTTTTGATAGAGTAAGGAATGTATACCATGATTTAAGATAAGCCTGGCCTACACTTTGCTGACATGTGATACTCCATGTTTGTGCCTTACTGTCAATAACGGGGGGAAATTGTGCGYGGAGATGCTGCACCCTGCAGGAAAGGGTTTATGGACGTGCTGGGTTGTGATGYAGTGGATAGCAGCGTTCTGCTCTGCTGTTTAGGATGGAGCACCTTTACTCTTGACTGAGCAAACAGAGGCAGCTTCAGCATCCCATAGGAATTGGATCTCTTCTGTAAAATGCACATACATATTTATGTAGTGCAGCCTCGGGCCCTGGCTTGCAGAGAGGGGATGAGCACTTTGGTGCGCGGGGCRGATGTGCGGGGCCAGGATGGGCTTGGGGCGCTTTGAGACTGGGAACAGTGGCGGGAGCGCCTGGCTCTGACAGCTTCCATCCCCGGGAAGCTGCTCCCAGCCACTGCCAAACTAGTCCCTCCTACAGATTGGAAACAGGAAGGGGAGAGGGTGGCAGAAAGTGGCTGCTGCCCTTGGGGAGCAGCTGTGGGGGTGACGTTGCAGCCCCCGGGAGCCGCGCCAGGCCCTGCCTCGGCCCAACAACTCGCGGCTCCACCTGGGCCTCAGCCCGGCAGCAGCGACTGCGGAAAAGGGGCTCCCTCCAGCTCTGGTTCTGTGAGTGGCCCCTCTATTTTCTTTAAGAGAAAGTCTGAGAAAATAAAGAGCTGCCACAAGGTCGCTCACATTGTGGCTGGCCGGGCACCTCCCTGTGGCACCTACCAGGAACAGTGAAATCCTTCCACGTGTAGTGTAGCAGTGATCAAATAACAGCAAATCCAACAAAGTGGCTGTAGTTACTGAGGAGAGCGCTGCCTTAAGAGAAGGATCCATCAGTAACTKCCCGTGCCATCATTCACCAAGCTCACCCACCCAACAAGAACTTGCATTGAAGTCACAAGTGAACAGGCTTTGCTTTTAGACCATGGGTRAGGTTTGATTTGCATGGAAGGATCTACTTGCTTCTCTTCAGCTCCCTGACAGCTGCAACACCTTGCAATGTTGCAGCTGCARTATCTTCTTTTCCCTCTCTTTTTTTCAATGTGACAAGATTTTATTTTTCTCTGCCTTCAGAAATCAATTGCTTGAGGTGTATTTAGGAATCTTTTAAAATGCATGTTCTGGTGATTACCTATGTCAGAGCATAAACCCAGGGAGAGGAGGGAGAGGAGTCCGTTTGACAAATTTGCAGCAGCCTTTTATTGGAAAAAAAAATTTTTTTTGAAGTAGAAGTTCCACATGCAGCACAGAGTTGTCTTCAGTAAATGCCACACACTTGTCTATTGAGAAGCTACGAAAAACATTACCCTAGAGAGTGGTCATTACATTAAGGTATATGAGGAGACATTGTAATGTAGTGTCTGTTATTAAATGACAAAAGGCACTTCCTATTTTACTGGCCAAAAGATGTTTTCAAAATAAAACCTCTCTGAGGATAAAGCAAAAGTACAAAACCAAGAGAAGTTAAATATGTCCACAGAATATATTCTTCCTTAAAAAGACACTGAAGAATAATAAGTCTTAGACTGATGCTTCTGTGACACAACTTAAACTTTGAAATTCAAGAATACAGTGAGGGTCTAGTCCTTGATTTATTTTGCTGATTTAAAAAACAAACAAACAAAAAGACTGAGCAACCAAGAGAAGCTCTTCAAATTCTACTCWTCCTGGCCCCTTCACCAGTGCTACAATATAGACATATTTTTCAGGGCAGGAGCAATGCAATTGAAYAATCCAATCCTGCTGCCAGCTGTTGGTTTTAGTTCTTAGCCGTTGACTAGACGATACCACAAGCCCCAAGCAGAATTATTATCAGGTGAAAGCGTTTTGTCTCTCAAATAGACAATCCCTCGCTGTGTTTCTGCATTGCAGAGCACKTGGATGCATATTCAGCCACAGGCTGAGAGCCACATTGAAAAGTGTTTGGAAAAGGACAGAACAAAATAAGGTCCTGAAGGGGTAGCAAGAGGGATACCTCAGTCCTCGATCTGGTCACCCCAATGCTTGAACAGGAAGACGGTCGCTATATCAGGAGAGGGACACACAGGGTTCATCTGCAGGTGCTTCCAAAGCCTCCACTGAAACCGAACGCTTCTTTCCCTGCAGTTTTGTAGAATTTGTACAGGCCGTCGCGAATGCCCCAGAGTCAAACTAGTCTTTGTGTCTTTGTCCTGTCATCAATGTAACCTAACGCTCCGTTCTCCGCATGGTATCTTCTATATTCACAGTTTCAGAGTATTTTGAATCTCATCCAACTCCAGTACCGCTCAGAGCTCATCCTGGTTATAAGAAAATCAGAATTAAAAGTTAAGCTGAAAGAACATAAATTTTAAATTTCTTGTAGTATTACTTTAACAGTTGGTGAAGCATTTCTTAAATTGAATTCAATRTAAGTAACGGCTGTCTATGAATACCTTCTTTGTAAGAAAACATGACAATTAYAGTCTATACCTCTCTCTTTTGCTGCCTGATTACTAAGCTCAGTCTAAGGTGCAGTGCATCTCAGCCATATTCTTCCACATTGCAACCCTCTCAGGGTCATCTATAAATTTTGTTAAGTCTTGCCAAAACTGGTGTTTTAGCTGCACCAAGCTCTGCTAAGTCTTGGGTTTGACAAGGAGCCAAAACAAGACTTAAAATAAGGCCTACATGGTAAGTGTTGGAAGATGCATTTAATATTTCATAAAGAGCAAAGGCTTACAGTGCTTTAAATGGCTGTTCTTTACATTAATATTGGTCTTTGCAGAATACCAAAGAAAAAGAATTCTTACCTTATTTCTAGATTTCTTTCGTTTACTTTGAATAGCTTCTAACTTTTCATTCAGAAGGTTGGCAATGACTTTCGCATCTCTGCTGTCCACAAGTTCCCCAAAAACATTTTTCTTGAAAATAACAACATTAATGTGAGTAGTTTATTATCTGTGCTATCCACTGAATAGAAAACAATATGCTTATTTTCAGATATAATTCAGGAGAAATGCCAGAAGACAGAAGAGGTGGTAAGTTGACTTAACATTCATTTTTTGTCTCCATTTCCACAGTACTAATTCTCTTTATATATAGCAAGAACTGCTATTGGCTTTCAGAACTACATAAATTTTTACATTAATTTTTACATTAAAATTAATTTTTACATTAATTTTTACATTAAAATTAATGATACCTGAAGTAATTAGTTGCAATTCCATCACACTTATTCAATTAAGTATTTCCTGTAGATAACCATGTTAATTACCTTATAATTCACATTCATCAAATGTGTTATTGTGGGTTGCTAATMTATGATCAGAAAAGGCATTATTCTTACCACCATAGGAAGAAAAAAATTGCATTAAATAGCAAGGAATTTTGTGAGAATTTCTGGATTTGGATATTAATATTTCCCAGAAAATATTAAATAAAAAGTAGATTGGAAAGACTTAATTATTAGAGTGCACTCAATGTTTTTGCTTCAGCATTAATACAATCAAAAAGGTTACTTAGTTACTTAAGACAATTTAGTAGTATCAATTGTTTTACAAGAATGACAGTGATCTAGAACTACCTGCATATTGTAAACGGGGAATATGCTGATTTCAACACAGGCTCATTTAAAATTGAAATATTTTGATAAGGTTTGTCTTTTTGGTGTGATAGCACAAATGCTTTGCTTAAATATTGCTTATTACAAAACAAAAAATTGAAGTCAAAAACGCAGTGAAGTGTTTCATGTGAAAAGAATRTTTTTCTAGAGCCAAAATGAATTTGTAGTTGCTGGTGATGTCTAAAAACATTTTAGCACATGAGATTCCTGCAAAATTTGAATTTGGTTCCTGTTAAGTCCACATTTTTACTGTATGATTAATTTTAAATTCTACTTCTTTGGTAAAACAGTATTACTGTACCATTGTYCTACTCTTTAGACTATGCTCCTGAAATCAGCTCTAACAATTTAGCTCCTGAGGTTAGCATCTACATAACATACTTAGCAGAAACCCCTTCTGTGTAAGCTTTCAGTGCGAAATGAAACCCACCCAGCAAGAGCAGCACCTCCCTGCTCTACACAAAGGAGACTCTTTACCTTTGATCCTTGGTAGGGGTAAAACTTGACGGTCGGGTAGGCCCGGATATCAGCACTCTGGCAGGTGTGGCCGTACGCCTGGCAGTCTACTTTCCCAGCTTTTACTTTTCCTTTCATGGTCTGAAAAGAAACAGGATTATTAGGAAGAGACTCCACGTTTGCATGGCTGACCATAATCAAGTAACTTGAATAAACAAGCTTGCAGCCAAAAATAAACAGCAAAGAAGTAGTTTGAAGTAATTCAGAGCAATCCTTCACTGGCTTCTCAAAGTATTAACATTGCATTGGAAATAACCGGGTGCCCCGCAGAGCCCTAGRGTTGGCTCTGGAGCACACCGCGCCAGAGCGGTACCCGTGAGCCCATCCTAAGCTGCAGTCCCTCTCAAAAGAGGGCCTAGGTGCGTGCATCTCTGCAAGGGCCTACATAAACTAGCAAAGACTGACTGGCAGATGTTGAGTTTCAGTGAGGAAGAGGCTCCCATATCTCAGCTGCTTTGAAATTGTGACTGGCATTGGCTATTGTGGATTTCGATGTGTCTATTATGGAATTACAGCAGATTATGTGAAAATAAGAAATAAAGTTGTCTAAAAAYGAAATGTCCTTGCTCTCACCACTTCTGAGAGTGATATTCTGTAAGTTTTTTGCCAAAAGGTAAGAACAACACTCGCCTACCACAAGGATGAAGTACAAACTAAAGATGAGTTAATGATTAGGTCGCAAAACWTCAAAATCATGGTGAAATGCATAACAAAATGAGTTAGGCATTTACAAATTGAAATATTAAAGCTCTGTCATGTAGATAGGGGTATGTGATTTCTGACTGACTGCTAGGAAATACACAGGATCACCTACACCAGCTCTGTATYACAGTGCTTTATGATTCCAAAGCAGCAATCCACTAATAGAGTTACAACCTACCCTTGCAAGCATCTCAAATTCAGGAGCAAAATTYTGGCAAGGTCCACACCAAGGAGCATAAAAGTCAATGACCCAGTGATCTTTTCCATTCAAAACTTTTTCTATGAAAGTCTGAGGAGTAAGGTCTACAGAAACTTGGGGTAAATACCTATGGAAAGGAGGAAAAGCAGTCACAATGCATTCAAAACTTTAAACATACCCAAATTTCATTGCAGGCCTAGATTTTTTTTTCTGAAATCAAGGAGAATTATTAGTATTTGGGGCATTTTGGCTTTACATTTTGTAGTATAAACTAGATCCTTTTTAAAAATGGTGGACTAAATAATAAACAGATCTTCAGAAAATGAGCTAAGAAGTTGGCTATTTCTCCACAATTTTATAGTTTGTTTTTAAAAAAATTGGACTCCTTAACAGATCCTACATTAAATAACAGGTACACCGCATGTTTCTAATCCTTAAGGAGACAGCCTTTGGATTAATTCCTCTTAGCAAGGAAATCATGTGAGCAACTATGAGCAAAGTTTAATGCAGGAACTCACCCCAGTGCCCAGGCTCTCATTGAATACGAATCTCTGTGCCAACCATTGTAGCTGCTACAAAAAGAACAAAATGCAACAACCCAGTTAGACAGCAGGTTTGAATTGGGTTTTTAGGGAGAAAATCAAACAACCAAAAACCTCTGTAAAACAGCTGATATGGCAGTATGGTTTGGTATGATGAGGCAAGAAATAACAAATTTAAATGCATTTATTTTATGTTGTTTCACCTGGTTGGAGAAACTGTCTTTATTTTCAAGTCAGAACAAGTAACACTCTCACTTTTTCAAAGACACAGAATTAAGGAGTAGAAGAAAACAAAATTCTATATTAAGAGATTGCAAAACTCTAACTTTGATAGCTAAAAGTATTTTGACTTAGGGATCTTTGAGCTCCAGCTATTGTAAGGTCTATTCAACATGAGAATGATACTGAAATGTTTTAGTATATTTTCTGACTGACACTCATTGATTACAGCATTCTTTATACTTTCTTCAACTTGACAGTGGGAATAAAACAAAACACAAGGGAAAATAGCTACTCTGATTCATTATTTGGACTTTCAGAACATTTTTTAGCTTGAAATTCCCATGGCAGATATTAATTAGGGATTTAGATCTACTAATTTACCACATKGTAAAAATTTTTACTTTCAACTATAGAAGTATCTAGTCAAAATATGACCTGAAAGCTGTTGTTGRTTTTATTTTAAGAGAAATTTTCAAATTATATCTTGGCATATTTTCAAAGGAAAAGAAATCATGACTCATGCTTGCTTGAGTGGTAAACATCTATCTCCTAAATCATTTGTTTGCACTGAAGGAAAAAATTCTACTTTTAATACAAAACTGCATCTGGAAGAACCAAATAAAAGCAAACAGGTCCCTGATGAATGCTACAGAAACTGCTATTTAGCACTATGTTGAGTTCAAGGTTCCTGAGGCAGTTGAACTTAAATCAATTGAAAAATGATGAAGTGTCCAAAGTAATAAAGTCAATGTCTAAGACATTAGGTCACAAACACAAAGATACTACTTTTCCAACCTTTTATATAGAGTAAAACATGTAAATTTATTTTGTTCTACATCGTAACATCTTCCAAACGTACACTACTTACTAATATTGTTGAGCTGTGTTTGACTTTTGAGGAAAGAGTCTTATTTCAGGATATCCTCGAATACCTTCTTGTTGACAAAAAGAATAGTATCTTTGACAATCCACACTCCCTACATTGATCAATCCAATTAACATCTAAAAAATAAAGATGAAAAAATGTAATCAAATATGCTAATCAATTATATCATAATTTCAGTAATATTCCAGAAGTGAAGTTCTAATTAAGCTTCAAGAGAAGCTTGAGGGAATTCCCTCACTTCTTAGTGAAGAGGAAAATGAGAAAACTCTTTTGTATCAATAAAAACAACTGGATTTTCATATCAATGTACTGATCCTTAAAGAAGGACCGACTCAACTCCTCTGCACTGGTAACAMTACAGAACTGTCATGTAGGAATTCCTTATTTTGTAAACATGAATCACTGGTATTTCAACAAGAGTTCTCAGACACTAGGTGTACAGTCTCAATGATTTGAATTAACAAGATGCAAAAGCAGGAAAAAAAAAAACCACCCAAACAAACAAAAAAACCCACCACATTTGAGTGCTATTTACCCTGGCCATTTTTTTCCATTCTGGCATCAGAGCCTGGCAAGGCCCACACCATGGAGCATAGAAATCCACCATCCAGGTTTCCTCTCTTTTTCTTCTCTTAACTAATTCAACAAATGTCTCTGGTGTTAGGGAGACCACTGATGGATTCCTAAGATCCTAAAGGAAAGGCAGTTATAGATACACACTTATATCAAAGAAATTGCATGAAGATTTCATCACTCCTTATCTGGTTACTATAATTAATTAAAAAAAATTAGAATACTTTGCATCTAAAGAACATGTCTGTGGACATGAGTGACATGACTGCAACACAAGCTGTAATTCACATACCTCTATAAACTCCAAGATCTGCTCAGCAGAATGATGTCCTTCATATTCGTGAACATCGGACTGGTTGAACACAACTGTTGTCGGATAAGCTCGAATGTTATGCTAACAAGAGAGACAGAATTGCAAGGAAAGATTAGGTGCCCTGTACTTTCTTTTAGCTGTTGTTGGCATTGGGGGCTCGGTACTGCTAGTGTGCCCGCATTGTAACGTACAGTTGCTCACAGCTACACGGAGAGAGGTGCTTGGACACACTCCAAAGCCCTACAGCAAAAATACCAATTATATTCAGAAACCACAGATATAAAAAACACCCAGCACTACTTTTGTCATGCTCCACAATTACAGAAACCCCTTTTCTTAAGCCTTACAAAATAAAAATCAAAGTCTCTGCGTAAACCAAAAAAAGTTGATTGCTGACATGTTCAAAAGGTATTAGATCAATATAAATACATTAATTTGTAGATTAGAAAAAAAAACGTTCTGGGTCTGCTTGTTTTCTTCTGCTTTAATGTATTTTTATCTTAAAAAAGAAATAAATTCTGACCATTTCCAGTGTTCCAAAAGCACTATAAGATTAAAATGCAACCTATATTTTGCATTTTTATATTATCTGTAGAAATTGCATAGTTAATGCCTTCACAAAAACCTCCTGGTTCTGTTATTGTCACTAAAACAAACAAACAAACCTCAAGAAATGTAAGAAAGCAAAAGTCTTTGAAATAACTTTTTAAACTCTGTCAGGCTTACCATGTTGCAAAGCCCTTCATGCACAGTACAGTCTAATGTTCCAAATTTAAGTTGACCATAAAGATGTTTTGATGCTTTTCTCAGTTCTGGCAACAGAGCTCGACAAGGAGGACACCACTGAAAAATGAAATACAGGTAAGCGCATTTGCTTTCTCTGCAGTTGGCTCTTGGAGAATGTGAGTTGGTTGTGATGAATAGTATGTTGCCTTAATGATTACATTCCTCTAAAGACAAAAATCRTACAACAATGTAGGAACTACCCCATCAAGAACTGAAAAATCACAGTATTGTGTCATKATACAGAAGGAGACTTTCAAGACGTTGCTAGTATTTTGCCACAATGTTGCATAACAATTTTCAGATACAGAGAAATGCAAACATTAAATACTTACTGGTGCAAAGAAATCCACAAGCCAGGGTTCCTTCTCTTTGTCAGGAAAATTCTGAGGCCCCAAAGTGATAACATGAGAGTTTACACTCTCTTTGGCAAATGCAACGATGTCGTAGAGGATCTTCTTTCCTTTAAAAGGACAATGAAGAAAGGAAAGTTTATTTTTCCCTCTGAGAAGTCTTATTCAAAATGCACTGACAGCAGTGGGAGTGACTGTTAAGCTAGGCCTGCTGCCATAGAGTAGGTATCGTTTCACCCTCATTCAGGAAGACTGCCTGCAAGTGCCTGAGGCTATATCGATAGTCTAGATCTATGTATACACACTATACTAATCTATAGTATAGATACTGTCTCTAGGCCTTGCTTGCTATTTAGCTAAATATTGACCTGGATGTTCAACTGGCATTAGCCAAAGAAATGTTTCATTCAGGACAAAATGCAATCCAAGCATCCTTTTCTCCCTTCTTCTTATACTGAGATTTTTGCTTTAGTGTCTTGCAARCTGCATTTCTAATACTTCACAGGCTGGAAAATCAGAACCTTGTCAAGAGAAAGTGTCTCGTGCCCCATCCTTACCATGATGAATTTCGTAATCGTCAGTTCCTTTTCCTTTGAAGACTGCCAGAGAGGGCTGGTAGACATACAGTTTATTGCAGATGGTTGGTGAGGAAACACAGTCAAACTTGCCAACCTGTTCAACAAGAGAGCACGTTAGGATTCATTTACAGCCAAGAGGTAAAAAAGTGGAGAAGTAGCAGCCTTTTATAAATAATAAAGCCCTTAGGACAAAATCTTATCATCATGTTTGAGGAAAACTCAACTTACTACTTTACTCAAAAATTACGGACAGCTTTAAATTAAAAACGTTACATGAGAYTACCAGAGCAGACCGTATCCCTTACAAAATCTAGTGGCAAGAATGTCTAATAATAAGGAACAACCTAGTGACTTRTTTTCTGAACGCACCTGGATATGTTCCTCTTTAAGTAGAAAGCTTAGTTTTTTAAATTCTTGTATACTTGATTTGTCATCATTTCCAAATTGGAAGAAAATCAACCACCGATGGTGAGCCAAACGGTCCTTAGAATGGGGAGGGAAAAAAGATAAAGAAAAAAGTTACTTCTGWTTTTTAACAATTTTTGAATTCCTATTAATCTTGGAAAGGAAAATGACCAATTATTCACCTGATATTTAAGCAACTCTTTCCTAATCAATAAAAATTCTTTCACTATATAGTCACTCACCTAAATTTTGTATCATATATAGTGAAAAGTCAAAATCTGAAAACCAACTGGCCGCATGGCACACTCACCCTTGTTTCCGTTTAGTTTCCATTTACTTTTTTTACTGCAGATCAAACTGCTAAATGCCAGCCCTTCAGGGACTCCTGAGAGTTGTCCTTATGTTTTTCCCCAAGACATGACACACTTTTATGACTTTCAATATAATGAAAAAATACTAGGCCAGTCTAGGTGGATGAAATTCAGTCCATACTTAACATAAGCACACAAATGATTTTTTCTTTCTTATATTACTGAATACTAAAAATTCACCAAAATATATAAATAAATCTCCCTACTTTTGTTCTTGTGCTAAAATACAAAAGCAGTGTTAAGCAATTTTGGCTAGAGAAAAAAATCACTGACAGCTAGAGAAATACTAGGTTGCTGTAAGACCAGAATTTGGAAACACAAAAGTAATAATTGATGTAAAATATAAAAATATATTAAATATAAAAATATATGATTTAGAGGCAAATAAACACATTTTTAAAAACTTACCTCTAATGATGCTGCAGAGATGAGTTCAAAATCTGGCAGGTGTTTCATTACTTCTTGATATATTTCTCTGGCATCCAAGGAGTTAAGAAACTAGGAAGGAAAGTCAAGCTCTGATTATTATAAGTAATAAAAACATCAACCTGATTGCTGACGACAAGCATTCAAAGTGTCAGAGGAATTATTCTGATTAGTTCCTTTCCATCAGCTGAAGAGTACAGTTAATAACATAGTATTTGATGAGTTTTTCATATACAGATTTTCACAAACATTATTCTCAGAATACTTTTGAGCTTGTTTTCCCGTAATACTAAACTTAAAATAGTATATTTTGAGACTTATTTCTAGGACTCAAGTCTGACAAAATCAAGCCTCAGATCAAGTTCAACAAACTCAGTTTTACAGGCCTTATCTATATGCATTACACAGATTCCTAAATTTCCCTAACATGTAAAAATCAGGAATGAATAGGGATCAGTAGCTGAAAGTTGGTGGGTTAAAAGATTGAAAGCATGTATTTTGCAAGTTTTATCTTTTTCTTTGAAGGATATGGATGACAGTAGTGACAAGGAAGGAACAAGCCATGCTTCAGACTGTGAAATTTAAGTTGAAACTATCATACAAATGTAGGAGGAGGTTGCAATAACAGAATAAAGAGGAATAATAGAGTCCATATCAACAGACAGCGTAGGAGTGCTTTATCACCCAGATGTCAGGGTATTTCTCAAAGTTGTGATACTCGGGACATGTTCTTTCTGGAATGAGCTTTGCAGGCGCATGGCGAACTCCCAGGCCTGCCCAGAATAGCAGGTTAGCTTTAGGACTAGATTTTCTTGGGCTTGGCACAAAGCTCATCCCACCCTCGGCACTCCCAGAGCCCACAGGCTGCTGCTGCCTGKGCTCGGTTCACCCAGCAGCTCCTCAACAGGCTGGGGGCAGCACTGGGGACCCCTGCCTTAGAAAATGAGAGGGAGGTAAATGCAAAGCCATGTATAGAAGCTAAGGACAAAACAACAACAACCCCCTAACATCTATAAAAAGCTGAATAGATATCTATCAGTGTCATTGCCATCACCCCATTTTATGTAAATATAGAACTGTTTAGAAGCAACTCGTACCAAGACACCTCCTTTCTCTTTGTTATTTAAGGTGGCTCCAGGTGGAAAGTATGCTGTAGTGCTAGATGAGATATCTAAGTTATCACAAAGCTCACCCTGGGTGCCACAGTCCATCCAGCCTACATTGACAAGACCTTCCTGTAATAAAACAGCAAAAAAAACAAAAACCAGTATTTTCAAATTCAGGTTCAGAAGTACTTCTGAAAATTCAATATAAGCAATTACATGCCACGTTTAGAAAATGGAAGGATATTTCATATTGTAACTCAACAATTAGTATTAATTCATCTATATTAAAAAAATATTAAATATTTGGTGTCATTTCCATAGCTATTAATAAAAAACATTTGGCATGTCCAAAAGCTGATGGGTGAAGTCTTGGTTCCACCAAGGTCAGTGAGAGATTTCCATTACAATTTCATGCTTTCACTTCTTTTACTTCACTTTCAATAAAACATGTAATACTTTCAAGTGAAACTGCTTACCAACATGCCAGCAAGCTTAAGGCGTGTTTGGTGGCTCAAACAATCTGCAAAACAAAAATATTTTATTCCAAACATAAAACATCAAATTAYTAATTCTCTTAGCCTACTCTTTTTTTAGAATTGCCCCCTTCCTCCCTATAGAAGTAACCATTGCAAAGGATGTGCTTCCTGGCTGTCTATCCAGCACTTCAGTTACCCAAAGTAGTGAGGTCTGGTAATCAGCACTTGATTGATATCTAAAGTAAAAACTGCTGGAGAATTATTCCACTCCTTCATCAACACAGACTGCCATTTAAAAATATTTTCTTTGCTAAGACTGACCTCTAAAATGTCTTCTTACATGAATCAATTAAAACAAAAAATTCCTCTACATACTGTATACTGAATGAGATTTCAATGGAAATATAGACTTCCTGTGTTTCAAATAATAATTAGGCACTATAGTAAACACATCAGATGTTCTTAATACCCATCCAGACAGAGGCTGAACAGTTACTTTGATACAAATATTTTCAGAAACAGAAAGAGGTAAAAGAGTCACTTAAACTTAGGATTAATGGTCTTAAGGAATAYTAAAGRGTTACAACTGGAAATCAAATAATGRRCAAATGTAAATCCGGGACTGGAACTGTGGCCATTTACAGAACAAAGGTCTCTACCTAAGACGGAGAAATCTCTATTTGTCAAAGGTGTAGCAAATTTCCTCAGCTCTACCAGCTGAGGTATGGTATGAGGTAGGTAAAGGAACTTTACCACATTTAGTAGGCAAAACTGTCACAATTTTAACATTTGAGCACAGGTGTTGTAGGTATATACACAGATATACTATACATATCTTTGTATTGTAATACTAAAAATCATAAAATAGTATGTGGAAAGTCATAAAATCATTGTTTTTGATTGCTGTATTAGATTGTCTATGTGGAAAATATACATCCAGTTTATCTAATAGCTATTTAACAGTTTAGGTAACATTATTAAAGGTCTAACTACTACGTAAATTCATTTCTTCTAGAAACTTTATGGGGCCRAAAGTTGTCTGCTCTGACGTATATTGGCCTATCAGGAGCAAAAAAACAACCAAACAAAAAACCTAAGTTCAACAACTAAATGAACTCTGGGCTCATTTTTACAAACTAAGTGAGCACCAGGTTCTGACTGGCCATCAGACATAAAACCACCTTACAAAAAGGGATTTTTTACTAGTAGTTTTGAGAGATATCCAGCCAATTTTGCTGTTCTGTGGGGGAAATGCATTACTTCTGCTACCTAGGTCTCACGGCAAGACATGTTGCACCTGTGCAATATTGGTTAGTTGAGCCGAGATGWCACTGAAGTCAGAAGCCTCTTCTGCCCCTTTGCTTCCCGAGGGCATTAAGCTTCTGTGCCATTTTAATGGCTTGGGCGATGTTAGCAAAGCCCAACAGGATAATCTTTCCATTTAGGCCCTTTGGCCAAACTGCTTCTAAAACAGAACTTTTCTGACCCACAGCCCAGGCACTGTGGGTACCTTATACTGTCTCATAAGATCTTTATGAACTTTCTTCAAGAGGAATTGTGCCATTATTAACAGAAGCATTAGCTTCCTGCTTGCCTWACTTGAAGGGTACATAATACACCTACCTCCACGTTCAGCACAGAAGGTGATCAGCCAGCCAACACCGGAAGCAAATGAAGTTTCAATGGCATTAACAAAGTTTCCTAGAGAATAAAACAATTTTTAACTGGTTTCATATATCTAAATATAACTATGAAAAAAAAAAAAAATAAAACAGAGCACATTATAATAATATTACCTGCCCATAACTCAGTGACGGTGCTTGTAACATATTGCATAGCAAAGTTCTTTAAACTCTCTTTTGACCTGTCCCCATAATATTTCATAGGTTGCTACAAAAGACAAAAAATAGTATTTATAAAATGCATAGAATATACTAATGTTGCTAATATGAGCATTTATGCACTGCAGGACTCCCCACCCAAAAAAAACCCTAGCTTGAACTGTCCTCTCCCTCCCACAGTGGAATGTTTGGAATTTAATCTTCAGTTGAATTTTGTAACATGCAGTCTCCTTCCCAAGTCCAGCAACACAAGGATAATGAAGCCTTAGAAACGCCAACTCCCATTAATTATACTTCGATTTAAATAAATATAAAATTGCTTGAATCAGTCCACTTGGTGTTTGCACAATCTCTGTTTCAACCTCTCGGAGCTTATCACTGTCAAAATGTACCTAACTATTCAAAGGTGATTTGTATTCCACGCCAGCTTTACTATTTCATTCTCAGCTGGCAGGTATAAAGCATGAGCAGGTAACACTGCTGCTGCAGAAGAAATCTTGCAGAACCAAGCTCCGTGTTTCCCTAGGTGCACAGCCATGCTACTTGGATTCAAAACACAGACTAGTCTCTGTATCTGAAAACTCCATTTTAACACTGTGCTAAACTATTTAGGCCGTTCGAGTGCTTAGACTCATTGCTTCTGAAAAAAAAAACATGTTGTAACTGATAGGCTGCATGGTAGAATGACCTGGAAAAAAACAAAAAACATTCTGTAAATCAGGTATCTATTTTTAAGGTTAACCACTGTACAAACTGAATCAAAGTGAAAATGCCTGAATCAATTTAACCAAGCTAACGTAAGAAAAGAAAAACCTAAATTGTTAAAAGCAAGTTAGGCAAATGAAAAGATAATCATTGTATGAAGATTTATGAYTGAACCAGTGTTTAAAGAAATATTCTTCTGAATTTCAATCTTTCTGAAAATGTGTAAAGTTTTATTACTCACCATTCCAGTTTTGAAAATATACAGGCTTGGATAACTGTTAATCCCTTTTATTCGACAAAGCATTCTGTTATCTCCACAGTTGACAGCTCCAATGCGTATCACTCCATCCATCTCTTTAGCAAACTCTCTCCACTGCGGGGAGGTGGGGAGGAAAAAGGAAAAAGTAGATAATTTTCCTATAAGAAAATCTTGAAAAATTAGCCTCTTTTACTCCTGGCATCTTGAATCACTAYCTTAGGTTTCAGCTTCAGCACGGAAATCCACCTGGTTGAGTTTTACACCGAGTGAAAACTGTTGTTGAACTGTTTTCAGCAGGAATTCACCTGCTGCACATACGTACCGTAGGTGCCAGCTCATGGCAGTGGGAACAGCGGGGCGAGTAAAAATTCACAAACCACAGTTCCCCAGAGTTAACAGCAGCATCTAGATTGAAAGAAGAAAATCATATAAAAGTGATCTAGTACATCTAGAAGGTGGCTTTATCTAGAATGCATTTTTATTGCATCCCTCTCACCCTCCCTAAAAAAGAAAAGGCTGAATTAGTTTTTTTTTAATGTATTGGATAAGTTAATAATAGTAACTCAGTTACTCAATAATAGTTTAGCTATTGTAAACCCAACAGCTAAAAAACATAAAAAGAGACCTTTTACAGATCAATCTCACTGATATTTTGGATAGCGTAAGTTTGGTTACCTTAACAACAAAATACAAGTACTAAGCCACTTACACCCAATAAAATGTTCCACTTCCTTATAATTGTTTTACTTTTCTGATGGGTTTCACCAGACCATCTGTTTTATGTAAACTCCCTGTCTAACACTTAAAAATGTCATTGGTAATAAAGTAAAAATAATTGCTAAAGAAGCCGGGGAAGCCTAAAGAACTGAGCTTACTACTAAATATAAACACAAATATACACACACATCAGCTTGAATTATTTGGCTTTCGGTCTCTCCATTTTTGGACATAAGTTGTATGAACAGATGAGCGTGACAAAGATAATGACATTTCTCTCTAGTTTCTATGTGAATTATATAAACCTTAGCTTATAGAAGAAAAAAGGAATGGATGAACTCAATTTACCTTTCCAGGCCTGATTTTCAGTATCTGGTGTCACCTTTTTGAACCTCTGTGCAAGACACAATTATCTAATTTTCWCTTCAGAAATACAAGTACGAATATAATAGAAAGTATATTCTGACAATTGTACTTTTAGACTGCAATTTATCAATTGCAGTTGACTAAACTGTCTCATCAGAAACTTACAGTGATAATAGACACTGCAAAAGAGTGATGATAAACAGGACACATTTTTAAATTATTTCCTCTTACTAGGTCTCAAAATCTCTTTTGAACTTGATTGGTTCGTACCAATCTATTTGCTACCTGGCTTTTGCCAGGAAGCGTCAAAGGTTTTTTGGTTTTAGTTGCCTCAGATGATCTTCTGACAGATTTTTGACAGATATGTTATAGATATATTTAGTAAACAGCTCAGAACACACACAAAAAATGTTTTTCTGGGTTGATATGTTGGCAAATAGATAACCATTTAAAACTTACCAAATTCTCCTCTATCCAATGTTATAATTTCAGGATCATCATCATAAATGCCTATCAAAAAAAAAAACAAAAGTTGTTTTTTATTTTTGTGGTGCTCAAAATAAAGAACCAAACTCTAATCTTGCTTAGAGGAGAGAATGAGGAGAGTATACCTCATTTGCAACAGGAAGCTGGCAGAGCGAGTTTTCACAACAAAAGTGCATTCATTTGGTAACATGTAATCTTCATTTAATCTCAGGTGAAGTTCCATGACCTCACACTACAGAACTTTTCATCAGTTCTCCTAGTGTTTTAGTAGATTAATCACAAGGTAAGCAAAGATGTTAAACGATCCCTTTGTATCAAGCTACAGTTTAATTATACAGAAGGTGAGGTATTAAAGCAAAAGTTTAAGGAATAGCAGTTGCCAGATTAAAAATGAGGCTGACATTAAAAATGAAGAAGCTTCAGTTCTAGGCCCCACGTCAGAGACAGAGCTATATTTAATGTCTGGAAACTTTCACTTCCTCCCTCTGCCTCTGATTATCTGAAGTAGATCATAAAGCCCTTCCAGATGCAAATTCTTTCGCTAACAGAACACGTGTATGCACTGGAATAAAACGCATAGAATAAAGGTAAGGAGGACAGGCCTCCATAAACCTGAGCAGTCTTACCTAGAATGTTATTTAAAAAAATGGACAACTACTTTGAGCACCCAAGCAAAGCAGTATGGGATGAAAAAAATACTATTAAACAGCAAAATACTATACTGCAACTGCTACAGATCTTTAACAATACYTAATATGGTGAGATGCTATCTCACCAGAGGAGTTCAAGGATTAAATACAAATAAATAACAAACGAAATTAATTTCCACATTTGATGAGACTATTTTTTTTTGTTTGTTTGATATTATAGATGGTATAATACACACACGTGTATATAGACTAGGTATATATACTCCAAATGAGTGCTTAATAGAAGCTCAGGGATAGTCAGTCAAGCCCTGCAACTTCAGACAGATTTTTTTTTTTTTTTTTTTTAGCTGTTTAGCTCAAGCAGTTCTAGGACAATTCATACTCTTATAAGACAGTTGCCTCTGGCTGATTTAGTTTCAATTTGTACTGGCATTAATTTATTTATAGACACTGGGGCATCTTACATCAGATTACACCAAAAAATACAAAACATTTAGGGAAAAAAAATATGTATATATATTTGCCTGCTAGGTTTGCCTGTTTTGCCAAAGTGAAGTTTCATTTCAGCTTGTTTTTTCTTACATCACTCAAACTATGATGCTCAGCTCTACTATAGTTACCATTTATTACTATTGAACTAAGAACAGTTCATTCCTGACTGTTTTCTACAACTACCTGAAAAACTGTTAAGAGAAACAGTAAATAACAAGACAAACAGTAAATAATTTGTCTCWAAACTATTTTAGATATGATTCCATTGCTATATTTTCATTCATGTTCTGTTACAGCTTTATTGATCTCTAATGGAGTATCTGTACATAGAATGAGCTTGAGAGTGCAAAATCTACCTCACACTACTTTGAAGTACAAAAAAAATCAATGGAAAATAAAGAAAAAAGGTCTTGTGGCATTGAAGAGTCAAAATGAATACTGATGAAACATTAACATTAGAATTTAAATTTTAACCCCTAAAAAAAAACCAAAGTTTGGTGATCATAATAAAAAGAAGTACACAGAAGAAAAAAACGCTAGATAAACAGATTATTACACTGTTGATGTGCTTGGGATAGCCATTACAAAAGTAAATAAAAAGTTGGGTCAACAGAAAGAAAATGATAATAACAGGAGAACAATAGAATGYGCAGAAATCTGAAAAAGAGTAAACGAGAAATGTGCAGAAAGAACTGGCATAAATCTGAATATTGCATTTACTCTTGTTTAAAACAAATCACAAGCATACACCAAAACTTACCAAAATCATAGCGGTAGAAGTTCCAGCTTTCATAACGCCCACCCTGCTGCTGATCCTCAAGACCCTTCTCTCCATATTTATCATACTTCTTCCGTAGATCTTCATCTTTAAGTACTTCATAGGCTCTATTTATTTTCAAAAAATTTTCGTGTGCATTTGGATCATTCTATTTAAGGAAAACTAGAGTTAGTACCTGATAAACTGTATTGTACATATACTGCTGAGAAATGAATCCTTGGAAATATTTTTGTATGCCTGTCAAATATGTCTGTGGTCTCTTGATGGAAGCTTGCATTATGGAGTAGTCTCCCAATAAAACTACAGCAATGCTTTCCTCAGGGTATGTCTTCTGCTTCTTCTTAATCCCAATTTCAAAACCTTTGCTGAAAGGACAGAACTACCTCTTCTGATCTTACACTGTGGTAGCCTCCTTACTTATTTAAGGACAGTGTTTTGGTTCTAGGTAGGTTCAGTATTAGAATAGCAAAGTATCTACAATCACATTTTGAACTGCAGTTTTGGGCATGAGCCGATGCAAGCGTTACTGTGCTGAGCAAAATCCATAGCTCTCTCCCATCCCCTGAGCTTCTGCTGAAAAATTTGTTTCAAAAAGACAGTTTTTAAAGGGATTTTTGAAGGTATCAGCATATGGAAATTATAACCAGAAAATGCCTACAAGGGATTTCGAACTTTATTGACATTTGACTACTCTGTTTCAGGATGCATTGAGTTGCCATCAAGTTAATCTATGGACAATCTTGTGCATCTTTTAGAAAAAGGGAGAATGAAGAGGCCTCCAGAAATAGACTCCTCAGCATGTAATCCAGGTATCTGTGCTTCATTTCTTCAAACATGTATTTACCTCCTTTTTATCACACTACAGATTTTGTCTCATGTTTTTCTCTTTAAGTTTTCTTGTTAAAATCCAAAATGCAAAAACACTGGTGCTTCTGAGGCTTCAGGGTGCCCTGTGTGGGAACATGGACAGTTTTCCATGCACATATATTTGATGATCAGCACCCTCATATTTACTGTGAATTAATGATTATTTCAGAAAATCTTAGAGAAAATGAAAAAAAAAAAAAAAAAAGTTCCATTGCCTTTTGGTACCACACAATAGACTCAACTGCTCCCAGTCTCTAGTCACTCTACAGCTCCTTATTGCCCTCCCTCATTCTAGGCAGGCCCAAAATTTTTGCTTTATCCTTTCCAGGGCTGGGAGATCAATGTCCAAGCACAGCCCAGCTCTGCTTGCTGTTTAGATGCGACTTCACAGCAGTGGGACAATAAGTAATTGTTAAACAAAGAGAGACAAACTCACTAGATCACTAAAAACATAATGTGGAACTGACATGAACTGTTCTTCTGTTTATTTAAAAAAAAAAAAAAAAAAAAAAAAAAAAAAAAAAAAGGATTAAGAATCCAAAGATCTTGCTTTTATTTCTACTACAGCATTTTCATGTGACTTAAGTTCAGTGCAACAATGTATTACCAGTGTAACCCTTTCTACACCTTTTCTGAGTGGATAATGGGAACTAACCCCCCCCTATATTGGGTGGTTACATTATTTCAAATATGTTTTAAACCAACATGGAAACGTTTTAGGTAAAGACCCTTTGTGTTTAATYCCCGAAACTGACCTGTTGAAGATGCAACTTACCTGGTTCTTGTCAGGGTGTAACTTCAAGGCCAGTTTCTTGAAAGCCTGCCTGATTTCCCTGCTGCTGGCTTCTTTGGATACTCCAAGCAAGCTATAGTAGTCCCGGTCAGGGCACACGAGGACTATCAGACACACCAACAGCACCAGCAACGACCTGAAGCCCCTCGCACGGTCTCCCGTGGAGCACACGAGCCCCATGGCAAGTTTGGGGACGTTCACCGGCTCTGTGGACGGTCTCCAGAAAGCTGCTGATGCTCCGGAGAGCGGCACCGGTGACAGGGCTCCTTGCAGTCCAGCTCGTCCCGCTTTATGTCAMGAGCCTCCCGAAGTCACAGGCTGCAGAGAGAGCGGGAAGCTGTTCAGCTCGACTTATTTATTTGCTTGGCTTATTTGCTAGCCCCCGTGTCAGCGCCGGGCCGCGTTACCGCCGACTGTTGCCCCCGGACGGGCAGGAGGGGTGAAACTCGCGCCAAGGGCCGCGCGCCTGGTGCCCGCGCGAGCTCCGCGCTCCCGGTGCCCTCAACGCCACGCTGGGTGGGAGCGGGAAGCACYGCACACACGAGGTGCCGCCCGCTCCCGCCACCTGCCAACAGAACACATGCGTATGGATGGACGTATGGGTGTATATACGGATGTGTGGGTCTGTGTGTGTGCTGCTCGCTTCCAGCCGCCGCACGAGGGAGGCTCGGGGCGGCCGGGCCTCCCGGAGCAGCGGGGCCCGCGCGGGGAGCCCCGCGGGGCCGGGGATGCTGCGCGGCCTGCCCCCCGCGCGGCTCTTACCGGGCGGTAGCGGCGGCGGAGCGCGCCGGGCCGGGCCGGGCCGGGCCGGGCCGAACCGGGCCGGGAGCGGCGCGGAGCAGCCTGGGACGGCGGCGGCCGCTCGCCGGCGCCGGGCGGAAGGGCGGCCCGCGCCGGGATCCGGCTCGGGGCGGGGCGGGATGAGTCACGGCGCGGGCGGCGGCCGCGCTGACGTGGGGGCCCCGCGCGGACGGGGCGGCCGTTGGGCGGCGGCCGTTGGGCGGCGGCCGTTACGCGCGGCGGGGGCGGGCGCTCCGGCCGTTTAAGGGGAGCTCTGCGGGCGGCGTGTTTATTTTGTATGAAGTTTGGTCAACAAAGATGAAAGTAGCTCCGGGGCTGGTAGCGTGCCGCGGAAATGAGGTGCTCGCTTTGGTGTTATTGCAGCCTCTGAAATCAAAGCATGTATGTGTCAGTTTGAGGAAGGTAAGATAGCAGCTGAAGCACATTATATTCCACCCCGCAATAGTTTCTAACAAGCAATTTAAAAGGTAAATTCAATTGGTTTTGATTGATTTTTTTTTCAGAGTTTAAATTGTACTTCCTACAGGTGAAGCAGGTTCTTGTTGCAGCTTGTAGYGTTTGTGGTGGCATTGGCCAGTTTCTCTTTTTGAGGAGCTGGCTGGAGATTGCAGGTTACAGGGATTGTAGGTCACTTAGCACAGCACAATGACACATAAAATCTTCAGGATAGTGAGAAAAGCACTCGTACTAAAATTTTAAAATGGTTTAATGGGGTCTAATTTGTTCTCACATGTTCTATTTCATAACTCAAGCTTGAGTTAGAAGAACATGAGCAATTGCTCCTGAGAAAAGGTGAGTTATTTCTCTGAGCTAACRTGCTGGTGCCAGGCAGTGGTATATGGATGGCAGAAAAGGGTAAAGGCTTATTTTTTATCTTGAGGCATACAAGAAGAATTTCATCTTAATCTTTAGTCATGATTAAAACTTCAATACCAACTTTAATGTATTTCATATGAATGTAAGGGTAGTGGTTATTTATAATTTTTTTTTTTTTTTTTAAAACAGTGTGTGTCTAAGCATATTCACTAAGCTATTTGTTTTAATTACTGGTAGCAGCAAGCTCTGTAAGTTGATTATACTCTGCTGTTTTTTTTTTCTTTTTGTTAGTAGTTTTTGAATACCCTGTGTGTTAGAGCTACTTTTTCCCCCACTTCTCACTAAAACACTTTTTTTTTTTTTAACTCAATTTTTAAATTAAAGTATGAAATACTTTATATTGCATGGCAGGAGGTTGAGGGGAATCTGAGTGTTGATCTTTCAGTTGCCCATATGGGTCTTTTCCTACAAGCTCTGTTGCTCATGGTTGGTGGCTCATGGTTGCTCATGGTTGGTAGCCAAAAACAGCCAACATGTTGGTAGCAATAGAGGATGCAGCTTTCTCAGGCCACAGGATTTGCAAACTAACTGATGCTTCAATTTGCTAATGAATCCRCCTGAGGAGCTAATGTGAGATGTAGCCAGCAGGAAAGTGGGTAGGAGAAGAAAAAGCACAACTCCTTAGTCATTCCCAGCAACTCCTGCACAAATGAAAACTGCCTGCTATATTCAAGCTAAACCCTAAAAATGCAGGAGAGCCCACCAGGAATTCTATGTATTTGTTAAAGAGATTTTGAAAAACATCTGTTACAAATGGAGTGGGGTATTGCAGATGGGTTGAATCTAACTGGAACGTCAAGTTCTGCCTCTGGAACAGCTGTTTGCAAGTTGCAGGGGTTCTTAGGACTGTTTCTGACATTTTTTAAAAAGATTAGAAGATAAAGTGAGATTTGACTGTGGGAACAGAGGTTTCCTGTAGTATGTGCTTCACAGTCTATGGGTTTCTTCACAGGTCTTGAACATCAAAATATATTTTCCATTTGACTTGCTCTGCAAATGCTTGTTCTTTTTAAATTAGTGATTATGATGGTAAAAAATATTTCACATTCCAAGGATCTGGGGCTTATTTGTATACGGTTTAGTGTGTACAAGCATTGCTATAAGAACTCAAAGTGCTGCCTGTGAGGGTTTTGTGAGATAAATTTCTTTTTAAAAATAAGCTTCAAACTCCAGTATTTTATGGGATTATCAAATATCTTAGCTGAAGAGATGACCAGGGGTGACATCATGTACAGTCCATTATCATATGTAGTGGGTAAAATATTGGTGGGTTTGACATGCATATTTGGGAAACAGGAAGCACATAATCAGCTGTGAATTTGGACTTTTTTAACCCATTCCAAATGTGACAGATTTACTGCAAATGCGTAAATAATCTGTATTTAGGTCACTAGTTCTTTCCTGTGTCATTTTCTCACTGTGCTGATAAAGCRGTTCCATACATGTGTTCAGGGAATCTAAACACTGTTGTCTTTCCCCTCATCTAAGGATGAGGAACAGTTTTACTAATTCAACCATAAACTGTGGGCAGACATGACTGCATACAATATATGCCTAAACTTGACTAGTTTTTTAAAAGGCSTGTGTCTCCTGAATTAAACACTGTGGAACTTTCTTGAAAGAAGGCAAAACATTCCTCCTGCATCATCAAGACTCTTCCCGATTGCTATGGCTTTGTGAGCAGCAAGTCCRATTGTTCAGCTTTACAGCAGAGAAAAGGAAAACGACTGAAGGTGACAGGGCCATATTTGTCCCCTTCCTCCTTTTGCTGCCTGGCTGTCCGTGCTACGGAATGAYTTGCTCCAGACCAAAGCCCAAATATTGTACTTCTTGGACAACCCTATCACTTCCAGTAGCATTAACTCCATAGACCATTTAGTCCAAATTTAGCTGTATCTTTGACTAGGAAAAGTTGTACTCAGAGGAATTAGAGACATAAGATAAAAAGAGATACATAAGGTTAAAAAAAAAAAAAAAAGAGTGAAATTAACAGCTGGGCAAGTGGAGCTTAACTTTTTGGGGCTCAGAGGCATAAAAACATGATCGAGAATAGAAACTGGAAATGTTGAAAGAATGAAAATTACTGATGTAGATTATATTAGTTATTGAAATAGTACTTTTCATATTAATGGCTTAAGTTGTGACCTTTTAATCTCACTGTGAAATGGTATTCACAAAAATGATTCATTAGATGTCATGATATTATTCTTCTGCTCTTTAGTGCAGCGGTTTGGYGATGGGACTGTCTAATGCTCTTCCTGCAGTTCTTCTCCAGGTGCGCTCTGCTCGTCTTTGTGCCTGTGGCCTCAGGACTGTTGAATTTATTTGCATCTAAGCTAGAACATGGGGAGTGTAGAGAAAAATGTATGTCTTTAATAATATGCACCTATCCTAATGGACAGTAGGAAGGGGCTGCATAGCAGCCTGTTTGCAACTTCTGTTATCCCTGAGTCTGGAGCACGGAGTCATTCCTTTGAAATTGCTATTTTTCTGTGGAAGTGCAGCACAGGGGTTTGAGTGCTGTTGTTTGCAAAGGCCTTGTTGCCTCTTCCATTTTGTCAGCAGGTACGAGGACATATCCCAACCCTGGCACATGGCACCGKGTACAGTCCAGAAACGCCATGTTTKGGCTTCTAGGTGTCCTGTGTATTTGCTGGGTGGGATCCTGAACGGAGAACTTGCCTTTCTCTCCAGTCTGAGCTAGCGTAATTCTGCTGAACTCATTGGGAATTGTCACCGTCTGCCCTGCACAGCCTTGGACATCTCATCTTCTTCCACTTTTTTAGAAGGTTGTATTAAGTTAAGAAAAAAAWATATATATTCTTGCCTTCAATTCTCTACTCAGTATTTTTAAGGTGAAAGACCTTAGTAACACAGATTTCTTGTAAACAAATTATAAGGATATTAATAAAAATATTATGAAGGAAATACTTTTGAAGTAGTAGGAAACTGGTTAGCACATGCAGTCTCAGTTCTCTAGCACTTTATGTTCTCTCTTTTTTTGTGTGTGGAAAAAGAACAACTTCACTAGAGTACTTTGTACTTAGAAAAGGAATATTTGTGCATGTAAATGTTTGTAGAATTTAAAAATGTACAATACATAGATTTAGAACAGTTGTAAAAGTACCATGATGTGTTAGTGTGATCCAAGAATATTTCAGAAAAGAGTAGAATCCAACATATAATTATGATAATTATGTAAACTAGCATTCTCATATAGATTGCAACCCAAAATACTTCAGTCTTGAATGTTTTTGATATGATACAGGCTTGCATTGCATTGTAAATATGCAACCAGTTTTTAACTGGTTGGCATTTGCTAAAAAAAGSCGATGTTTGCTAAGAGCTCTGAAGCTGTTTTTAGATTAAGCAACTTGAATTTCAATATTCATTTCTTATGACATCCAGTGCATTATATTAAAACTTTAACTTGCCTAAGATGAAGTGGCTCTGCAGGATGTCCAGTGGCAGTGCTAGAAGCAGCATTGATTCACAAGATACCAGTCAGTGCTGTAGTGATCTCCAGGAGGGGAATAAATTTAGTGCTCATTTTAGCTAGGATTTTAATTGCAGACAGTGTTACACTGCTTTGTGATGCTGTATTGTGGGATGCAGTGCTTCAAGTTCTGGGGTGCACGTTGATTGAAATCCTTCAAATACAAAATGGAACTACCAGAAGGGGTTGTTCATGAGGAAATCTACTTTGATAGTGATTCATTCCTCTGATCGTTTTTCAGAAACTTGTCTAACAGCGTGCTGAGAGTACAACCATTTCCCCATCTTACCAGGACTTGTAGGACTTGTGAAAGAAGAAAGGAAGGTAATAGGAATTCAGGGCAGGCAGCTTTGTAGAAACTCCTGAATTACTTTTCTTGGAAAACTTCCATGGTGTTGTGTGTAATATCCTTCTCAACCCATAATAATAGATACYAGCAGGTTTTATTGGTGGTAGCAAGTAAAACTGGGAGAAATACATGGCTGCATTAGTAATAAAATCTTGTGTGGCATAATTATTTTGCTCTACAGGTTTTGCATAAAGAAAGCAAATTCTGAGGCATAGCATGTATTTGATTTTATTTGTTTTAGGAATATAAGTACTAAAATAAGATGCTTTCTGGAAATGAGGAACTTTGCAGTAATATTGGTTCTTGTTAAGGCTGTAGTCCTAGTAACTGACTGATCTGCTACCTATCACTAGAAACTGCCTGGTTCTAGTCAATCTCTTATTTTAGGAGTGTTGCCATCATCATTTTCAGAATTGTGCAAACCACATTTTATGCTCCTTCAATTTAAGGAAGACTGAGATAGTCAAGAAGGCAAATTTTTTAATTTTTTTAAATTTTTTTTGTTACTTTCATCCTGAGGGTGGCTAGGATATTACAATGATGGGCCTAATATATTGCAGTGGAAAAATGAAAAATATGAATTAACTGATAATCTTCAGGGAGGGGGGAATAACTGAAAACTATTCTTAACTGTTCTGAAGACGAGCATATTTTTAGATAGGATGTCTTGTATAGCATAGG